GTGACATATGTTTTCTGCCCTTACCCAGTCTAGCTCTCAGGGAGCCAGGTAAGAGTAGGTTCAGTGATGGGGCAGTAGTGGACCCCCCTCTCTTTTCCTCACCTGAGGGAGAACCTGTACTTACATCAGGAATCCTCCATGCTGTTTCCAAACCTCATTGTTGAAGGCGGCTATGTTTTCCTTACGTAGTTTTGGGAGTCACATGGAGTAGCATGAGCTGGACATGGAAAGTCCACTGCAGAAGTGGGTGGAATTTTGGCCTAGGTACTGGTACTTTCCTGCATTTGCTGTGTTGTTTACCCCTTTCTGCAGTCACTCAACAGTGGAAAAAGGCTATGTTGAGTAGTCTTTACTTTTCCTGTGTCTGTGTGGGAAGACATGTTGGTGTCACACTGGTTGACTGTCTCAGCAGCACTGCCTGAGCCATTAGTCTTCTAGGACAGACCAGGTTATGTATGAACTGCAGGGCTCCAGTTCAGGCCTGAACAGAAATACATACTGTTTTTCTTCTTAGATAACTAGGGTGCCTTGGTGAAACGTTCTTATTGGTGAGTGATTAAGATACTGTTTTGGGGGCTGGAGAAATGGCTAGTGATTAAGAGTACTTGTTGCTGTTGTAAAGGACCTGGTTTAGGTTCCTGGCACCCACACAGTGTGGCTCACAATTATCTGTAACTCCAGTGTCAGGGCATCCAGCACTCTCATTTGGCCTCAGGCACACACATGCATTTCAGGGAAACACTTATAACATAAAATAGTAAAGTTCAAAATAAATACATCTTTTTTTTCTTATAAAGGAAAACATTTATAATACATCTTTTTAAAACAAAAAATATTTACTTGTAAGCTGTGTGTATAAATTAGAATTGACTGTTGTCATTTCATGTCTTGAATCAGGAATTGAAAATATGGTTTCACAGAGATCTGCTTCACTGAGCTCTGCCTTTAATTTGCTATTTTCTTGGAAATATAATTTTGTCTATACCTGTGAACATTTACAAACAAGGTTTAGATTGCATTTAATGGTCCATTCCTGTAAGACCAGTACTCTAAAGTGGAGGGGTAGGAGGCTCAGGAGTTCAAAGCCAGCTTTAGCTGTGAGAGAGCCTGTTTCAGCCTCCTCCCATCACACACACACACACACACACACACACACACACACACACACACACACACACAATACTTTAGAATTTGTTGATGTGGAGATGTGTAAGCAGAGTAATAGGTACTAGTTTAATTTAGTGTGCACTGGAGCTTACTCAATTTGGCATATTGCTTTCAGAATAAAATAGTTTGGTTCATGAGAAATTGGGTAAATAGTATTTGATGGAACTTGAAAACAGATCCTTTCAAATAATGCCATGGTGCTAAACTAGGAAGTTTCTAGTTAGGAATTATTATCACTTTGGTTTTAATTGTGTCTGCACAGTTTAAATGTAACTAGCATGTCTGGATATAGAGTCATTTTTTTTTCTTTTTTTATTAAATTATTAATATTTTCACATATACTTTCCCTCTCCCTCTCCCTCCCCCCACCCCCATTCCTTCTCCCCCACCTCCAATATAGGTAAATTTTTGTCTTTACTATTTTATAGCTGTCATGTTTTATGGGAGAGAAGTTTTTGTTGTGGTGACCATCTGAGCCTGTGGGGTTTGTAGCCCCTGTTCTTTCCAGAGTGGACACGTCTTTACCAGTAACAGTTGCCATCCTTTCAGAGCTGTCAGCATTGATGACTTTATCTTAAAAACATCTCTTTTCCTTGCATTGTTTCATTATCTTCCCTTGCCATAAAAAAAAGACCTCTATCTGTTTCACATTGCCAACTTTAAATATAATTTCCTTTTGTAGTTGTTTTCAGTGTAATATTTTGACTCTTAAAACATCAAGACCATATTTTGTTTTCTAGTGCTGGGGATAAAGCCCCTGAGCTTCAGCCCCAACACAGAGTTTCAATGGAGCCTTGTATTTTATTATTTACTGTTCTAGGGAGTGATCGCCATTACCCTTAGGTGGGTGGATATTTCATCCTGGCTATCACATGTTTTCTTTTCTAACTGTGTTGATCTTCATTCCTTAAAATTGACATTTACCTATTCTACAAGGAAACACAGCTTTGGGATCAATACTAAAGGTCCTCATTACAGCTCAAGTTTGGTGGTCAAGGAAATTCGCAAATGCTAGTGCAAGGATCTGGGTGAACTGCCTGCCCGGTCACTGAAGAGGTTTGTAGATGCTGTGGGCTCATCAGCAGCTTTGCTCCTCTTGTGAGGACTGTGTCCTGAACCACTGCCTTTTACTGCCACCAACTCCCTTGCCTTTTTGCCTTCCCTTTGCACTCAGCTTTCCTGTTTGCTCTGCTGTTTGTTTCTTTTAGTTCTTCTCCTATTGGCCCTTGTAGGAATTTGTATTTGTCAAATGCTCCTTTGGATTGCCGCCTCTGGGCCCTGGGGTTGTGATTATGTTTTTGGTTATTTTGTAAATTAGGAACAGAGGACCAGAGAGGAGCCAAATGTTCATGCAGGCTAGCCACAGAATTTGCCTGAAATGCAAATATATGAAAGGTGGTTAGAACTTAGCTGGAAGAGGAACCGCAGAACATACAGATCTTACCAGCCTTCTCATTGAAGCTGAGAAAGCTGAGGGCAGGATTGGGGAAGTGTTGTCCAAAGGCAGCTTCTGAGAATTTAAATATATTAAGAAAGTGATTTGTTTCAATGACTGTTTTAGAGAATCAAGATTTCTCTGATAGGTATAATAGTGGGTTTGACAGAAAGATGTTATTACATTTATGAGAAAAGAATGAGAACATGTGGTCATATTTTATTTTTGGCCTTTGATCTGTTGTTCCCATGCATCTGTTGGCTTTTAACTTTGGCATAACCTCTGTGGGTGACATCATGCTTTTTGCTTGAAATGTCACTGGAGCATATGATTCTCACTCTCTTACCATCACACTGCTAACACATATACATACATATACACTAGGAAAAACAAGGATAGGAAACAATCACTGGGCAAATAGTTTATTAGTACTCTCCATATCAGTGGATATATGAAAATTAGCAGTAGCTAACTTTTTTGAGTACTCGTTATTTTAAGTTTTTCTCTCTAGACAACAGTCCTATGAAGTAAATACTCTAGTAACTGCTGTACATAGAGGTAATAAGGGCTGGGGTAAACGGTAGCTAAGCCCTGCTCGTCTGACTTGGGTGCCCATAGCAACTGTTGCTCTCTGTAGAGGGTGGGGCCATGCAGAATGTGTCAGGATGTAGTAGGAAAGAGACTGATGAGGATTCTGAACCTTTTGGAACAAGAACACCTTTAGGAAGACACGGGTGTAAAAGTGCAGAGCACTTGTGGCACTGTTTAGACTGAACTCTGGACAGTACCTAGGAGAATAATCAAGTCCATGTTGGAGGGAAGTGGTGTGTGTGTGTGTGTGTGTGTGTGTGTGTGTGTGTGTGTGTGTGTATGTATGTATGTATGTATATATACACATATATAACTCATAGATAGATGAATAGTCATATATATATATATATGTATATATATATATATGATAAATATATGAATGACAAGGTCTTTCTATACTCCATGCTGGCCTTGACTTCAAGATCTCCTGCCACAGCTTCTTGATTTATAAGAACTGAGATTATAAGCATGTGCTACCACATCCACAAGGTGCAGATTTAGACATTTGTTCTCTCACAGTTGGGAAACACTGGATGATTTAATAAGGTTCTTATTAGATTCCCACTGCAGACCATTCTCTAGCACCCTTCTGCATCTGTCTCTCCTGATCTTGCTGTTCTGTCTCACAGTTCTGTCTCCAGGCCTTGCACACAGATAAAGAGATTAGAAGCAGAAGTACCCTACTCATGTATTAGTTCATTCTGTTTGAGCCTGGCACCTCTTCCTTCCTGGATTCCATCCTGTTTGAAGCTCCTCTCTCCAAGTCTGCTGTGAGCATGGGAAATATGGGGAGTTGGAGGTCTGCACACTCCTCATGTGGAATCTCCTGAGTTTTAAGCTCAGTGTGTTGCTGTTCCTTCGGATGGACTTGCTTCTTCTAGTTCCTGAACCTTAGACTTCCTCCTGGCTCACTAGCTTGCCTTGCCTAGCTGCCCCTCCACCAACCTCAGGCTTCCCTGCCTGCACCATTTGCCCCTCTGCTTCCTACTAGTCTTTCATATACGTGTCTTTTACTTTCATCCAAGATAGTTTGTGTTCTGCTCCCCTTATTGTTGTTTTGGGGTTAATAGTATTTTTGAGGTGCTGGGATTAACATTAAAGCTGCAACATGCTGAACGGCTCTAGCCACGCCTCTGAATATTCAAGGAAAGAGAGGCATTTTCAAAGTGGGAGCCCTACTCATTACATTTGTCTAGAATTTCCTCCTTCCTAGTATTAATAGTTCACTGGAAGTGACTGTATTCTTGAAGTTGTTCATTAGTGGCAGCTGTTAAAGCTTGTGGGAACATAGCAGCATCTGGGTGGTTGGTTGATTGCTGGTTAGGGAACAGCAGAAGCCTTGAGGATTTTTGGCTTAGGGGCTTGTAATAATTGATTATCTCTTCATGTGTTTTTTTTTTTTTCTTTTTTCTTTTTTTTTGAGTAGCTGATGTTAGAATTGCTTGTAACATTGTGAAAATCAACATTCCTGTGTAAATACTTTTATTAGCACGATTTCTGTTCTTGGAACTTCGTGGAATCATTTCAGGAGCGTCACTGGTTAAGGTGCATGCTGGTCGATTTTAGTTTGGATGGCCTTGAAGTCATGTGAAATACAAATGGTCTCATTTAAAGGGAGCAGTTCTGAAGTGGAAGAAAGTGTTGAGGTAGAACATCCCAGGACCCGTATTTTATTACTATGGCATCCTGTGTATGAAAACAGTTAAACTTCTGTGTCATAAGCATTTCATAAGCTTCTGTAAGTTATCACACATTGGGGAATGTCAGTGAACAGAGTTTGAAAATATCTACTTTGGTGTGATTTCAGCGAGGAGGACATGTACCGTGCTGCAGATGAAATAGAAAAGGAGAAAGAATTGCTAATACATGAAAGAGGGATATCAGGTATGTTTGGAATTGCTTTGTTTGTGGATATTTTTTGTTCATAGAAAATCTAGTTAGATTAGTATATCCGCTTTCATGAAATGTGACCTTTATTTCCTAGGAAGTCCTCTCATACATGCAGTCTCCTCCATATGAATTACCCACTTTGCTGAGATAGATTTAGGGAAGACTTTTCCTTGCTTCTGTTGACTCTGCCTTCTCTTTGTTTCTTTCTTTACATCCATAGAACAGTTTGGATGTGAATATATTTTTCATTTTCAGTTGCAAGGTGTTTTGAGAAGTTAGCTATACACATGTCCTTGTCTGAGGAAGGCCATGTGAATCTGACTGACTATAGCACATTGGTGGTGTGCTTGATACCACCAGTCATTTTGTGGCTATCCATAGCCTGGGCTGCTCTGTCAGGCTTGCTCCTGGTGTGGACTTGGTGTTCCTCCTGGCTCCCTGGCCTGTGGTGATCTTCCCAGTAGGGCTACAAGTGAAATGTGTCCTTCCATTGCAGGTAGGATGAGTAGAGACTCCATAGCATGTGTATGGATGTTATTTTCTTTCTCACTGCTTGTTACTCACATGTTACCCTTTTTAAGAACTGGCTTCTCTTTCACTTATGGCTAACACAAGCATTAATGCCATTAGGCTACATAAAGTTTTGATGTTTTCTGAGTCTTCCTCCAGAGCTGGTCAGCTCTTCCCTATGTAACAGAGGTGTTTTGTAGGGGTCCTTCCTAGAACTGCATAGGATGCTCAGTCTCCATGACTGTGTTGTGTTGTTCCATATCACTCAGGACACAGAGTGCTGTTTGGGCATCAGGCTCTTCTGTGTCCACCCATTGTTTGCCTACGCTATAGAACCTCCTCTTCTCCTCTTCCACTTTCTGGCCTCTGTTGTAATTGTCTTCTTTCCAGCATTGTTCCCCACACAGGCACCCAAGGCTTTTAATGAGGCTGTGACATGAAGCTTCAGTCTGACAGTGCTCCTTATAGCTCAGTGCTGCTGAGCTCCTGCTTTTCCTCAGTGCCCTGAAGAGCACATCCTCCTCCACCACAGTGCTCAGCCCTAGACCAAGAGTGTTCTCATCTCCTTTGTTGGTGAAGAGAATTCATCTAACTTAGCTTCATAAAGGCTTTCCAGACTGTTACCTCCTGTGCGGCTTTGTAAATAAAGATCCATTGGGTCTTTTCAGTTTATGTTTGTCCTTGGTAGCTTTCATGCAAGTGCAGCAATGTGATAGAAACTATATGCTCCTAAAACTCAGGTTACTTTCTACCAGACCTACTGCAGAAGAATTGTGAGATTCTGATCCTAGTCTGTCTTCTGAGAGTCCCAGCTTCCCAGAAGAGTCCCAGTTTCGTTTCTTACTCTTTGAGGTGTGGTTATTGTATTCATTACTTATATGATGCATAAGGTCCAAACCTTAGTTATTTGAGTGCCTGCTTACCACTTTGGTTTTTTACTTCCCTTATTTAATTTTTTTTTTTTTTTTTTTTTTTTTTTTTTTTTTTTTTTTTGCAATAGAAATAGCCTTCTTCCTGGAAGCAGCAGTGGGAACCTATGTAGTTTACAGTTAGAAGGAGGGTATTGTAGTCAGTGAGCTGATGAGGTCAGGTGCTGCCTCATCCTGTGCCTCCATCTCCTCGTCTAGTCAGCCTTTGGGGACTGCTGCTGTCCTCAGAGATAGTAGCCGAGCAGAATTCAGGTAACATTGTGCTGTAGAGTACTTCATTTCCCCAAGCCTCCCACCTCATACAGACCTCTGATTCAGAACTGGATTAACCTTCTGACTTGGCCTCTTGCCTTTATAAGATCCCTGGGCCAGTCTGACCCTGTGACCTGAGATAGTAGGATTCCCCAGCCTTGCCGAGGGGTAGGAATGAGGACAGCAGAGAGGAAGGCAGGAAGGGAGCCTTCCTGTCTAGAAGCCCTTCCTCTGCTGATAGAGTGCTTTCTCGCCAGGCTAACAACCCCTGTCTGGCATAACTCAGGCCCAGAAAGGGTCCTGACTGAGTGTTCATTGTTCTTCCTGTATGGGGGAGGTGAGTGGAAAGGCAGATACATGGGAGTACTTCCTTATTCTGAGCAGCCTCTTAAAATTATTTCTTGAATTTCAAAGATGAAAGGTCTTTAAGGATTGGTTGTGCAGCAGTGATATTGTGGTCTCTTCACTTCTAGTTTAACCCTGATGTAGTCCACGCAGAAATACATCTGTGTTGTCTGTGATTATTTTTCCCTTTTGTAAAAGGTTGATTTTTCTTTAAGAAATGATTTATGATGGTTTGTTAGATTTTTTTTTTTGAATAGGCAGTGTTTATAATCTACTTAAAAAAACAAATTGCTTTCCCTAAACTGTAGTGAGGCTTTGATGCTCCTCGGTCATTCTGGCTTCTGCTGTACACTAGCTTTTATATGCTTGTGGTCTCTTCTCCTCCTGTAGAAGTCCAGTCAGGGCAAGATCTTTGTCTTAGTTATCTTTATGTTCCCAATTCTGGCACAGTGCATTATACAGTTAGAACTTCAGTGAATATATGTAGAATTGAATGAAACACTTATTTCATGTACAATATAGGCAGGCTTTCTGTATTCTGGAGTACTTCTAGGTTCACTTCCTAGAATAATTGTTAATATCTATATCCTTAACAGTTTTAAAAAAGAAACCAAGATGAACCCAACAGTTTGCCTCTTTTCCTTTTGGAATAACAAACTGTCATAACAAACATGCACATAGTTATAGGTGCATATCAGGAAATCAAACCTCATCTGTTAAATCAGGAAAATCTTACTTAAAGCCCCAGATTTAATCCTCAGTAATTACACACATACACACACACACACACACACACACACACACACACACGAAGGGTGTTGGAAGAGAAGAGAATCTAAAGGCATTAAAAAAGAAAAAGAAGCTGGTAACATTTGTTTGACCCTGAGGTGTATGAATTTTGGGGGACATCAAAGGAAGTCTGTGGATTAGCCAACAATGAGAGGTCTGTTACTTTTTGGCTTATTAGCAAACTATGTCTTTTAGATAAATACAAATGTAATTTTTTGTCAAGTATTACCTCTGCCTAATAGATATGAAAAGTTACAGATGATAGAAGTACTTTCTCATGGTTCATGTGCTTGCTTTTAATTATAAAAGTGTTCATAGATACCTGTGGGTCAGATGAGCTGGGAAGCTCCTGCAGCTCTCTGAGCATGCAAAGAAGGGCTGCCACCAGATTAACTGCTGTGTGGAGAATGATCCAGAGGGTGTGGTGACAAGGGGGACCCACTGAGAGACCACTCTGGTTACCAGAGGTGGTGTGGTGGCCTGAACTAGATGTGTGGGCAGTAGTAGGATTCAGGAACTTTTAAACCAGAGAAAGAAAGGGCTCTCCTTCTTCCCCAAGTAAAGCAGTACCGTTATTTATTTCCATTACTCTGTGGTTCATTACTTGTTTTGTTTTATTGTTGCCATTTTTATTCTTCAACAGAACTCAGGTTAAGTGTGGCTCCTGAAATGGATATTATGGACTACTGCAAGAAAGAATGGAGGGGAAATACTCAGAAAGCCACATGTATGAAAAAGGTACAGCCAAGGCTCTCCATTTGTCATAAGTTACATATCATATTATGTTTTTAGACATGGGTTAAGACAATTGCTATAATAAGACAATGCTGTAAATATTGGAGTTCTAATTTTAGAGATGAGGAAATAGACGGCAAAGATAAGGACTTGTTTGTAGTCATAATATTAATATAGAAGCAACATCAGTTCTTTAGTAACTTAATTTCTTTGAATAACACATAGCAGGGCTATTGAGAATTAAGTCAATGGTGGTTCTCTCTGAGACATTTGGGGGTGCCCTTCTTAACCTGGTGTTGTAAAACCCCAAGGATAGGCAGGGTGATTCTGCACCTCCTGTGTTTGGACACATGCTGTCTAAATCCTAGGGTTATAATTCTGTACTCTCTATGCAGAGGGATCTTGAACCTTTCCTTCATTTAAGGTATACTAAGAGCTACCTGAATTCACTTAGTTTCATTGCATATGCTGGCAACACTAATTCAGTCTCCAAGAGTCTGGAATGGTGGTGAAACTGCAGCACACCATACTGGTTCTACCTACAGAGTGCATCCCCATCCAGCAGCACTCCTTATTGGGAGGGTAAACCATGTGAAACTGCTGCTATAAGACCATTCTTGAGCTACATAGCTGGCAGTGTCAGACTTCTACCTAGTACTTAAGGTTGTGACTTTTAGTTACTTTTTTTTTCTTGGATTATTTACACTTTGAATTTGAATATACTTCTTGTGCTCTAGAAATACTAACCAATCTTTTTTATTTTTATTATTTATTTTCATATGTATGGGTGTTTTGCTACCATGTATGTCTATACCATGTGTGTGTGGTGTCTGCAGAGGCCAGAGAGTACATTGGATCCCCTGGGACTGGAGTTAACCGATGATTGTGGGCTGCCACATGGTGCTTAGAATTGAACCCAGGTCCTCTGGAAGAGCAGCCAGCACTCTTCACCACTGAGCTATTTCTCCAGCCCATATTTCATAAAATCAAATTTGGTAGAGACATAGTCTGTAGTTTCTTTTTTGCTTGGGGTTTTAAAGTTTTCAAAATTCAGTTAGTTTCCCTTATAGCTTGTCTTTTTTGTTGTTGTTTTGTCTTTTAAAGAAAATATTAACTCATCTTTTAGGGTTCACCTCAGGTACCTTGAAAATCTGAGAGAAAATGCCAGCTGCAGCCCTGTTTCTTGTAAATCTATGTCCTAGACCCTTGTATGTGAACTCAGTCACAAAATACCTGCCAAAGGTGAAAGACTTACCCTTCAGAAGCCTTCTGCTGACCGTGTAATCAGCTACTCAGAGTTTCCAGCCTGTCTCCCAGAAAGCTGAGTTGAACCATGAGTCTATTTTCTTACCTGCCCCAGAAATTCCTTCACTGACTAGTAATTTTACTCTCTTGTCTCAGTCTCTTCCAAAGATCTGTTTTAACAGTTGGCATATTAAAGTTCAATACTGAAGACATTCAGGTTACCCATATATATCATATTTTAGAACTTAGGGGAACATCATTCCTGTCTGGGATTGGTTTCAGAGAAAGATGTGACCAGTCAGTAATCAAATCAAAGCATCCATTTAGAGGTACAGCTCTGAGAGCTGTGGTGGAAGCTGGCTCACGTCATTGCTTGTTAACTTTGAGTCTTGATTTTATGTTAGTCCTTATTTGCTTAATTACCTGTGTTTGGTTTCAGATGAGTTAGGTTCATCTCTGAAGTAGTAGATACACTCCATGTACAATTACAGACCTGGAAAGTTCTAATGGAGCTGAAATTTTTGTATCCCCCAGTGATGTAGCTGTGGGGTGTCAGATTGTAGTATATAACTGCAGAGTTTGTCCTGATGTTATTTTAAGCAAACCTGGACTTCGGGTCATGTAGTCACAGCATTTGTTAGCTGACTGTGTCACTCTGCTGTGTAGAGCAGTGAGTGTGCTGTGTTATAACAGCAGCAACTTTATAAACATACCATGTTCACTGTATTTCTTGATTGTATTGCTGTCTCATACTTGACTTAATCCCTTTAAATAGTGGCTTGTTAGCACAATTACCCTGCTAATACTCAGTGGGAGCCTGTGTAACCCAGGTATGTAGTAGGATATACCAGCTAGGTTTGTGCAAGTGCACTCTGATGTGTCTGTCCACAGTGATGACATTGCCTAGTGACTTATTCTCAGAATGTATTACCTAAGTGACATGTGCCTGTATGTACACACACACACACACACACACACACACACACACACACTGAAAACTCAGGATTCTCTATATTTTTAAAGCTGGAGATAGAAATACTGCACGCTCCACCCCCCTTTTCCGGTTCTCTTTATTAAAGCATTTGGAATTAATTAACCAGTGAGTGGCGAGTGCTCCCTCAGTTGCTTAGGAAGGGGCTTTGAGGGTGGCTAGTGCTGGGCGATTAGGTTGTTTTGTATGTCTGGTCTGTCGCATTTGTTCTCAACCTGTGGGTTGTGACCCCCACAGGGGTCACATATCAGGTGTCCTGCATATCAGATTTTTACATTATAATTCATAAAAGTAGCAAAATTATAGCTATGAAGTAGCAACAAAATAATGTTATGGTGGGGGTGGTCACCACAACATGGAGGAACTGCATTAAAGGGTCACAGCATTAGGAAGGTTGAGAACCACTGTTATAGATGCTGAGATTTCATAAAGCATCAATACTTTATAATAAATGGAATTATAGTCAGAGATTGGAATGTCTTACAAAGACTGGGCTGTTCTTGTTTCCCACTTCTTTGGTTTAGGACAGTTTCTGTAGGGGTGGAACTTTTCTTGCTCTCTCAAGCCAGTAACCACCTTCTGAACTTTTTGATGTTTTCTCCAAAGGGCTATGAGGAAGTTTCTCAGAAATTCACATCTATAAGGCGAGTACGTGGTGATAATTATTGTGCACTGAGGGCCACGCTGTTCCAGGCCATGAGCCAACTGGCGGAGCTGCCCCTCTGGCTTCGGGACCCAGAGCTCATGCTGGTATGTGTTTCAGGGAGTTCTTGTGACAAGACATCTCTTCTGCTTACGCTGCTTGATGGTGTTATATGCAGCATGATTTCAGTGTATGAATTTGTTCAATTTTGCATGTCTAAGGTGATTTTATATATTAAAAAAATGACTAGAAATAACCAGTGTTTTCCAGAAGAAAAAATGTTAAACTTAATACAAACAAGCTAAATTAAAGACCAGATGTTTAGAATTCATAAAAAACACATAGAAACAACTTGACTTTATTTTAGTATTTCTGTGAAATAGGTTGTATAATTTATTATCGGGGTCCAGCCAGGGTTCTAGGTACAGTTCAAAAATGAATACTATTTCCATAATGAGTTGTTAGTGTTAACACGGAGAGGCATTTCCTGGCCCTGGCTGTCTTTGGTGCTTTAAGTCTGCCACCTGGTAGAGAGTCCTTGGGATCTATGCCTCCAGGTGTCCCAGAACAAAGAAAGTCACATGCTGACATTTTGTGTAATGGATTATAAAAGGAAATTTTGTAAATCCTGGCATTGGTTAACAAGGCTTTGCTGTTTTTTATTTACACATGAGATGAAGGGCTTTTTGGAGTGTTCGGGTGGACAAAGCTTTAACTCTGTAGCCCAGGCTGGCTTCGAACTTGTGGTAATCCTTCTGCTTCAATCATCTGTGTTCTGGTGTTATAGTGTTAGTCAGTATGCCTGGCTGATAAAAACGTGGCAACAATGTTGCTTCTGTGTGGTCTAACACTTACCAATAAGGATTTCCTAGAGTAACAGTTAAAGTGCCAGTTGCACTAATCTGTAGTAAGTGTAGTGAATGAGTGAATGTGTGCTGACTAACCTGTCCCTGTTACACTTGGGCTTTTCACACAGGAATGGATTGTGTGCTTTCAACACAACCAGTAAATGGAATGAATGTGGGTCACTATAGGCTTAAATAACACGTTAGTATTCAGACATCTGTATCGCCCTATCCTTGGGGTTCTGACAGGATACACCCTCAGCTGCAGCCACTAAGAGCACCACCTGTGCACATTCACTATGTTCCCTTTTAAAAGGGGCCTGCCCACCTCCCATCCCTTTGCCTCTCTCCCTGTCTGTCTGTTCTTCCTTCCCTCCCTCCCTCCTTCCCCCCACCTCCCAGTCTCTAGAGGCCAGTTTTCCCCCTTCCCTTTCTTCCCTCTCTCCTTTTTATGATCCCTTTCCCTAATGATTCCCCCTTCCCCCTTCCCAACCCTGTTGCCTGGCATCTTTTTCTTGCACTGCTTTTCTTAAATTATAACACTTTACATTTGTGGGGCATTTTTAGAATTCCGGGCTTATTTGACATTGAATTTAAATTTTTATACTTTTTAAGAGCTTTTGATGCATATAATGTCCTAAATTCCACATTTGAAACAGGTCAGGTAAGCAAGGTGGGATGGTGCATGCCTGTAATCCAGCACTTTTGATGCTGAGGCAAAAGGATTGGGACTTTTTAGGCCAGCCTGGGCTATATAGTGCAGACTTTTCTCTAGACCTGGCTCCCCCTACCCCCAAAAGGGTGAATTGATAGGCTGCATTTGATATTGATCAGAATTGAAATGTGTGCCTTGTAGGAGTGATGTGGCTGTCATGTGGTTTTCCTTGTTAATTGGAATAATGTACAAGCAGCTGTTAAATTCCCAGTGGCTTTGTGTGGTTTCCTCTGTCAGCACAGCATCACAAGTTTGCCTTTCTGAGGGCACAGTCACTGCAGAATCAGTGTTCACATTGATTGGAGTTTGGTTCTGCTCAGTCTCTGATGAAGAAGTAATTTTTTCGTTCTCCTGTCCTCAGAAACTTAATGTGGTTTTGACCTTTCTTGATAGTTTGTTATTCCTAAGACTTGAGTGAAATGCTGGCGTTAGCTCTGTAGTGTGCTAGGAGGGAGGTGGGTAGATGTACAGGTGTGTGGTTTTGCTGGAGACTGATGGAGTGGGCAAGTGTGCAGCTGTCTGCTGCAGTTTGCAGATTGTGTGACCCTCATCACAATGCCAGGACATCCAGAGGAGACAGCTAGGCTCAGCAGTCCTCACTTGAAAATGACTCTGTGGAAGGGACCGTCCATTCTGCTCAGTTTCTCTGACCTTGCTTGCTGCTTTCCTGCTTAGGAGTTGAGCTGTGTCCTCCTTGCTCCCTTACACACAGCTGCCCCTTTTCTCTCATCTCTGCCTAGGTGTTCTGTTTGAGGTTCTCATTTCTGTCCAGAACCCAACCTGCCTGACTGCAGGAAGACTTTCTGACTCCAGCCCCAACCTGGACATGGCTGGCCAAAGCTTTGTAGTTTTTAAGTGTACTGTATTTTTAAAGATCTCTGAACGGGCAAGACTGTACAGCATTTGCTAGAAAAAGACACTAAAGCTCTTTGTGATTTCATTTTGTGATGATACTTTTGATACAATAAATAAGTCCAACTTCATTGTTCTTTCCTAATGGTTCCTTAGAAGTGTGTGTGTGTGTGTGTGTGCGCGCGCGCGCGCGCGCGCGCGCGCGCATGTGCGCTCACTGTTCCCGTGCACACACGTGCTAGTGCTCCTCCCTCTGCATGGTGAATGGTGTGTGGAGGTCAGAGAGGACAGCTTTGTAGAGTTTGTTCACCTTCTATATTTTTGTGGGTCCCTGAGATTGGACTCAGGGCAGCAGGTTTACATGGCCACTGCTTTCTCCCCACTGAGCTGTCTTGTGGCCCTCTAACATACTAGTTTCTTTTCTGTGTTTTACTTTTTGGACTTTTCTCCCAGATTCCCACATCTGGGAAGTGTGCACCCTGGACCTGGTTAATCCCTTATCAACATATTGACTAGTGCGTGAGTGAAATGAGGAAATTAACCGGTTTCTCCCAAAAGTTACTGAGTTGACTGGTATACCTGCTTTCTAGATAACTGTCCAGTATTTCAGTACTCTGGGACACCATTTATCTTCTTTACCATCCTATACATCTTTGGGACAGGTATTTTTTGTTCTATTGGGTTCTTGGAGCCAGGTTGTAATTTCACTTTGTTGCCACTTGAGGGCATGGTAGATTCTGGTGATGAATCTGAGACTAAATTGAGAAACTGCCTGTCCATGTTGCAAGAATGTGTAGGCAGACTGGGCCTGTCGCAGCTGTAGGTGAGTGGTCATTTATCATGATAAGGTGACAGTGACTACATGACTTTCCCCCTTGAGTCATGCAGAGCACCATTACTGTGCTGCTGACTTTTATAGACAAAACCATCCTAGTTGCATGTGATTGTCACAGACAATGGAAGAGTCCCTGGGTCTTAGGTCCCAGGGGAACTGAACACATCTCATTCTAAGCTATGTATTACTGTTAAACAAGTTCAGCATAGGACATCAGGGATGTGACTTTTTTTTTTAAACTCCAGGGGTGAAATCTCTATAAAATTTTAATTACGCGTGAGCACGCATACACCTTTCCTGTTGAGCCATGTCACTGGACCATAGAGATGAAATCTTAGCAGTGCAATGACATGCCCATACCCAGCCCAAGTCTATGGTTTTTATCCTGACACACCCAGGACTGTTGGGAAGGTATACTTTCCCATGTTGTCATCGATCAAACTGTGGCTTTCACATTTCAGAGTCTGTTGCTGGGCAGGGACAAGTAAAATAGTCCATGGAACAAGAGCAAACAGTGAGGACCATAATAGTGACTTGTCCTTCTGTCAGTAGTAAGGAAGGTACAGCTCCCTTACCTTCCTATTGCTGCTGAGTCCTGCTGATCTTTTCCATCTTATGATGTTTATTAAATATGTGTATTAATGTTGCTTAACAGACAGGTCTTATGTTTTTAGTGGGTTGTTTTTAAGTGCCAGATGTTAGGTTTTGCTGTCTTTTCAGGAAAGGAGCAGGCTTTGACTTGATCATGGGCCGTCTGTGCCTACAATCATCTAGTTTAGTACTAATGAGTGGTGAGGCTGCCAGTGTGACCAGAGCCAAGGTGGTTGCTGTGAAGACCCAGTGTGGGTACTTCCTTAGCTTAACCTCATGTTTGCGTGTTACGTCCCTGCCTGTGGTTGGTGCCCTGCAGGCTGGACTCCTGTGGATCTGAACCAAAGGCACTCAATCTAGCAGCTGTCTGTGTGGCAATACTTTCTGAATTTGTGACTTCCGGGTTCAGATTCTCCATCCTGAACCCATATGATAACTGCAGGAATTAGTTCTGGAAACTAAGGTAGGTTTTGTGTAAAGGCTTTGTGGTGTCTCCCTTTTAGGTTGTGTCATAGATACCTTGCAATGTTGACACCTCTTTATCTCTGTTTCTTGATATTCCAGTTACCAGAAAAGCTGATAAACAAGTATAGCTGGATCAAGCAATGGAAACTTGGACTGAAGTTTGATGGGAAGAGTGAGGACCTGGTTGAAAAAATTAAGGAGTCCCTTGCCCTACTGAGGAAGAAGGTTTGACCTGTGTAACTTTCTGTCTGATCGGTGCAAAGCTTTCCCTTTCATTCCCCCAGCAGATGCAATGCCTCTAGGATTGTTTCTTTACTCATAGTTTTTAAGTTTATAAAGAAAGAAAGTTCATGGCTCTTGGTTGTCTGTCAAAGCCAGAATTTTCTGGTTTCAGACAAAATAAATTTGGGCTGGGGAAATTGTGTAGTTAGTAAAATGCATGACCAGGAACTAAGTTTGATCCCCCAGAACTCATGGAAAAATGCCTGGTAGGGTGCCCATCATTGGAGAGCAGGCCACAGGAGGATCTCTGAAGCTCACTGACCATCTATCTATCCAGGCTAGTCTAATTGATCAGTGAGAGCCCCTAATCTCCTCATACATGCATGCACATTTATGTACACTGACACATGTGCACACATACACATGCATGCACATTGAAAAGGAAAACTTTAAAAGGACATAAATTCTTCCCATAAAGTCTTTGGTAAAACGGAAAAAACCAACATTCTGTATTCTTGGAGGTGATGCTGTGTATGAGTATCTCAGATAATACTTAGTTTTTTTCAGAAGAAACCTTAATAAAATTTTTATTCTGTCACTTATACAACTTCATGGTTATCATTTAGCCATATTTCCTTTTTAATGATTTATTTTGAGTGTGTGCGTCCGTGTTTGTGCATATGGGTACCCATGGAGGCCAGAAGTGGGTGTTGGGTTCCTGGAGCTGAGGTTAGAGGTGGTCGTGAGCACCAACATGGCATCTTTAGCAAGAGAAGCATGTGCTCTTAGCTGTGAGCTGTCTCTCCAGCCCTTTAGCCTACATTCATGTTCTCAGAGACCACTGTGTGTGTGAGGTTCCTTCCATTCATTCGTAGATTTGAAGTCTGCCCATATGTGTTAAAAATTCTTCCTCAGTGAGTAGATATAGTAACTTGTCTTTGGAAACCACCCTAAAATTGTCTAAACTTGGTCTGGTGTCTGTAGTTCTGCCTTTCTGTGGTCAAGTGCACTGTAAGAGCACAGTTATTTTCCTTGCCTGTTGGAGTGCAGCATGGAGTGTTTAGGGGCCAGAAGCCTGCATCTACCCAGCCGTCGGCTAATGGAGTGGTGAATGTAGGCTGTAGCTCTGTGAGAGAGGGACTGGTGACTTTGTCAGCTTAGCTATATAATTGCAATTTCTTCTTCATATTTTTTAGGGTCTGATGGAACTGTTAGTTTTGTTTTATTATATATGTCGACTGTAATTAGACTTTCCTTTGAGGGAATGTGTATGTGATACCAATTTACAATAACATTAAATTTGGTCATTAATAATCTGTGCCAACACCAGGTGTTGGTGGCGCATGCCTTTAATTCCCAGCACTTGGGAGGCAGAGGAAGGTGGATCACTGTGAGTTCAAGGCCAGCCTGGTCTACAGAGCAAGTTCAGGGACAGCCAGGGCTACACAGAGAAACCCTGTCTTGAAAAACCAAAAAAAAAAAAAAAAGATTGGAGAGAGTTATGAATAGCTATGATTATTAAATTTTCTCTCAGGTTTAAAATCTGGATTGGTGTTTCATGTTTGAAAGCAATGCTAATTAATGTTATTCATAAGGACTGATTATATATAGTGACATCTTTTTTTCATGGTAACTTAGCAGTACACATATTTACCATGTTTTCTTATTCATTAAAGAGTTTTCTTATCTGAAAACCTTTATTTTTAATTAGGAGTCAAGACTTTCTGATTGGATTTATTCATTAGAAACTCACACATAATTTTAAGACATTGTAGGGGTAGGTTCAGTAAACCAGTATTCAGGAGGTCCCACAGTCTCCCTTGGCAGTCTTCTGTTTTGGAGGCTTGCAGGTATTTCTGGGGGTAACTTTCTAAAACTTCTTCCAGGTGTAGCAGGCATAGCTGTGCTTTGTAGCTTTCACACGTTTTCTGTCAGGCATTGTTTGTTGGTGTTGCTCTCGTTGCTTGGGAAGTTAGCGAGTCAACATTTCCACCTCATAGCCCTGTGCTTCTTCCCCTTACTGTGTTGTGGCTTGTGTTTCACATTGGCCAGGGGAGAAGCTAACTTAGGGGCTCATGCAGTCTGAAGAATCCCATTGTGTGAGGTGAGAACTTGAAGCTATTCACATTGACATGTGTCTTACGGTCCCCTACTTATGAAAATCAACTCGTACTCATGTTGCAGAAGTATGGCAAGGATTTTCAGAACACCAATTGTAACTGTGACAACTTTTCTTATTGTAGTGGGCAAGCCTGGCTGAAATGAAAACTGCTGAGGCAAGGCAGATAGCTTGCGATGAACTGTTCACCAATGAAGAGGAGGAGTACAGCCTCTATGAAGCTGTAAAATTTCTAATGTTAAACAGAGCCATCGAACTCTATGATGATAAAGAGAAAGGAAAGGAAGTCCCATTTTTTTCTGTGCTCTTGTTTGCTCGAGACACATCAAACGACCCTGGACAGCTACTGAGGAACCACCTAAACCAGGTGGGACACACTGGTGGCCTTGAACAGGTAAGTTGTGCCTTTGAGGGTATTTCATCTCTGTGTTAGCCATCAAATGGGCTCTCACAGTTTGTAGGGCAGTTCAGAAGCAGCTTCTCTAGGTGCTTCTGATCCAGCATCTCATGAACCTGTCGTCATGCCATTTAAGGCTACAGTCTTGATTGGGGCAGGATGATTTACTTGCATGTCTTACATGCATGACTTTTGGCAGGAAACCTCAGTTCTTCATTAGTAGTCAGAAGGAGGATTCAGTTCCTCACTGCACAGGCCCTTCTCTGTAGGGCTGCTCTTGGTGTGGAAGATGCACACTCCACATATTCCACAATCTTTTTGTCAGGAGATAGTCACTAAATACATTCCTTTCTCAAGAGGAGGGAAATGAAGTTCTCCCTATTTAAGGGAGGTATGCCCAAGGACTTGTGAACACAATTTGTTAGTCCCTGTGCTTATGCGGTTCCAGGATTGCTTTTGCAAAATAATGGATAATGTTATTTCTCCTGCCTCTCTGGGAAGCTAAAATGTTCTATAAAGCACTAGGTAGAACCATTTGATTAATCTTGGCTGCTGTAGCCCATAGCGCCTAGCCTCTCTCAAGTCCAGTCTTTCATAGAGGCTAAATTTAGAGTACCTAGTGCAGTAGTGTCACCTAAGAGAAATACACACACACACACACACACACACACACACAAGAGAGAGAGAGAGAGAGAGAGAGAGAGAGAGAGAGAGAGAGAGAGAGTCCATAAATATTCACAGCAATTAGAAAAAACTACCCAAATACTCATCAAAATGATGAATGAGTAAAATATGAAATTGCCATACTATGTCATAATGCCTGATAATAAAAAGGAATGAAGAACCAATACATTCTAAAACACTTAAGACATTATGCTAAGTCAAAAAGCCAGTCACAAAATTCCACATAGTATATGATTTCCATTACTAAGAATGTCCAGAATAGGCAGATCTACAGCCAGAAAGAAGATTAAGACTATGTAAGGTTGGAGGAAAGGAAGCCTGATGCTACTGGGCTTTGGGTTTCTTTATGGAGTTTCAACACAGTTGAAGATTAGACTATCCTGGTGATTATAATGCTTTAAAAGGAAGAATTAATGGTGCTTAAGTTATATTTCAAAAGGAGCAATTGTTAAAAGAGGATTCACCATTGTAGCAGAGCTTATTGAGTCTTTGAAAGGACTAACTTCAGTCTAGCATGTGGACCAAATCCTACTAGATTTTTTGCCACAAGGTCTATGCTACAGTTCAGGAGACATAAGCAGCCTACATTCTGAGTACAAACAGTTATTTTAAGTAATCATAAATATTTCTGGCCTAGCAGTCAGTAACCACCAGTCTTTTGTTCTCTTTTACTCCTTAAGCAAAACAACAGAATAGGTTTCATAGATTTCTACCTGCCAGAAAGACTCAGAGAAACCCACTTGGCTCTCTATTCCTTGAAGTATCTGAACTGGTACTTGGGCTTTTTCAGATAAGCTAGACACAAGAGTCCAAGTAGAAAGGCAGCAGGTTAGATTCAGAGCCTTAATGTTACTTTAGTGTTTAGCTAGTCTCTCTCTCTCTCTCTCTCTCTCTCTCTCTCTCTCTCTCTCTCTCTCTCTCTCACACACACACACACACACACACACACACACACACACAGAGTAGCTCAGTGCCAGAACACTTACATAGCATACATGAGGCCCTGACTTTATCCCTAGCATCGCCTAAAGAAGAAAGACAAGCACCTGCACCATTTTATATTCCCAGCAGCAGTCTATCAGTGTCCCATCTTTCCTTGTCTTTTAAAAATTGAGATGAAGTTCAGAGAACATAAATTAAAGTCTGTGATTAATTGACAGTACATTTTCAGTCCCCATATGTTTTTACCACTCCAACGAAAAGGCTATGTTCATGGAGCAGTCACTCATCTGTCTTTTTGATTATATACATTCTTATGGGTATGAAGTACTGTCTCATTATGGCTTTGGTTTGCTTTTCTCTACAGGTTTATGATTTAATATGGTCATTGAGTATTCATTTATCTTTGGAGCATTGTCTTCCGAGTCCTTTTGATTAAGTTTTAAACAGGTGTTTTATTAATGGTTTCTATGGGAGCATCTTTATATGTTCCAGTGGAAGTCCCTTACCAGATGCACACTCAGTTCTTCATTGCCCTTCCCCTTGACTGGGTCCAAAGGGGAGGAGAAAGGTGACCTCTAAGCCACTGCTGCTCATTGTCTGGGATAATGGATGCAGCATGGTGTTAGGCCCCATCTTTCCCTGTGGCTCCCCTCAGAGCACTCATTTGCTTTTCCTTCTCAGGTTGAAATGTTCCTTCTTGCCTATGCTGTTCGCCACACCATCCAGGTGTACCGGTTGTCCAAGTACAACACTGAGGAGTTCCTCACCGTCTATCCTACTGACGCCCCCAAGGACTGGCCAGTGGTGACCCTCATAGCTGAGGATGATCGACACTATAACATCCCTGTCAGAGTGTGTGAGGAGACAAGTCTGTGAGGACACATGTTGAAAGCCATGTGAGGTGGCGCAGGTGCACATGCAGCGCCTCCTCCTGGGGCCCTTAGGTCTGCAGGTCTCCAAGGACAATCTGGGAGAACTTTGGGGCTGCTGGAGCCAAGCTGGACTGCGATGTTCTGAAGACTAGCTGTTGATAATGAGAAGTAGCCAAGTCTTCACTCATGATCTGTTACACAGTGTATTTCACTGGGGGCTTCAGCATGTATCTGTGGAAGGTACAAACTATGTCTCCATAAGGCAGATGCTTTTGTGTCAGAGGACACTGTTTGGAAAGGAATATGTCCAATAACAGTTCTGATGGTAAACTGCTGTTACTTTTTAAGACAGTAGTTTTGGTTTTGATGTTTTTTCTTTTGGGGGGATGGTGGTGATGGGTCTCATTAGTGGTCTTCCTGTGAGATACATGTAAGTGGTGATGTCCTGGAATGAATAGTTACATTATCTTTTGATAGCTTCATCTGCTTTTGGAGGGATTGGCAGTGAATTTATATGCCAGTTAATACTATTTTAAGTAGATTGTCTCTTAGAAGATTAAGAATTGGGTCCCAGAGTAGATTTTTTGAAGCTTGGAAGGGATACAGGAGAGAACGGGGAGGAGTATAGACACTGATTTCTGAGCCTCGGTACCCTGCATTGAGAGAACCTGTTCTCAGAAGGTCCAATGGCTATGATTCCACAGTCAGAACTGAGTTTGTTTCCACCTCTCTAGAGTTTGTTTCCACCTCTCTATAGAGGTGAAACCAAACTGTCACCTAAGTTGACACAGGGCTGGGCTGGCTGCTGGGCCTCCTTTGCCCCTTTCATGCTGTTGAAGATCTCATGAACCGCCAAACCCATGTAACTCATCCTGTGACAGGATGAGAGACAGCCAACTATCTGGGATGCCTGATAAGCTACTCAAAGCAGAAGCACAAGGTAAGCAATGTAAAAGTAGTTGGAGCTGCTTGGGCAGCTAGAAGGAGGCAGCTGTGCTGGCAACAATAGGTCTGTCTTCATGGTGTGAGCCATGGTCTTGACTTGGGCAGGGGTGAGTGGGAGAGGGCTAAGCATGGGTTACCTTAGGACCTTCATCACTCGAGGTCCATAGCCCATGGTCTTTGTTCATGGGGACCAGACATATCCCTATTTAGGATTCCATCTGTAGCACCCAAATCAGTTCAACATTTGTTGGTGGTGTTATCCTGATACATTGAACTTAAGATAATTAAAACCCTTAATTTGATCCAGTTTCATATAAGCAACTTGTTTTGGGAGATAGGCCAACCCTTTAAAATATAAATTGTCATTTCATTAAAAATTAAGTCTTAAAAATTGTCTGAGGTAAGAAAACTCAGGATATACAAACCAATCAGACCCTTGATGTGGCATTTCTTTCATTGCCTCATGGTAAAATCACTACATTTTGTTAACTGATGATTGGTTAGAGTGCTGGCATCAAATGCTGTTCTGAATGTGTGTGACTATGTTAGAGAGGCTCTGTGTTTTCACTGTGAAATGCTATGGTACCCTTGAGTGAGAAGGTACCTAGCAGCCAAGTTAAAATAATAATAGTGGCTTACTGTTGACTTGCACACTTTATTTTGTTTGTAATCAAATTGTAGGAAATGCCTACCATTCATGTTTGAACAGTTTTGAAAGCAGAACTTGAAATGTTTAGGTCATTCCCAGAAGGAGTGATCTGTGCCCTTTGGGTACCTTGAACTGTCCATTGGGCTTGTATCACTATTGAATTTTAGTGGTTTCCTTGGCAGTACTCATGTTCTCTGTATTTTAAAGACACCTAAGTAACTTGAACTGGACTTCTGGGAACCTCTTTATATTTAATATTTCTTTTTTGTTCCTGTTTGTGATATTGTTAGATACAGTTTCCCTGTATCATGTCCCATGAAGTTAATTGCTTTTTTTTTTTTTTTCAGAATATTTTCAGATTTTCTCTCTCACCTGCACTGGTTGTGTATGAGTAACACCTGTTGGTTGACTCCTTCATGCATGTGGTCATGATGGCAGCATTAGTGTCTCTAACTTAGCATTTGGGTCTATGTGAGTTTGATCTGAGATAGTTGCATTTCCTCCTGTATGCATAAGGAAATACTCTTAAGTGCACAGAGAAGGACTCATCCTGTTTTCCTATATAGTTGCTTACACTTTGATTAGACTACAGAATATTCAGTCATGTCTGATGAGCTTTTTTTTGAAGGAAAAAGACATTGCATGCCTTTTGTGTATTTTTTTCCTTCCAGTTTTAGTACTTATTAAGTAAAATCTCATACCACATGAATTGATAAAACTTCTGTTGGAAGAACATGGGTGGTTTTTTGTTTTGTTTTGTTTTGTTGTTAATTTAGTTGATTAAATTTGACTTTTGCAGACATAGCCATCCTCCAGCTTTCACCTTGTGAGAGCTATGGCTGTAGGTACTGCCACCATAGCAGGTGCATTTGTGAGTTTTTATGTGTTGAAGCTTTTTTCTTTTGATTTTCGAAGTGGCTGTGTGTTCTTCTTCTGTCCCCTCCCACTCACCCACATGTGCTCTTTACCTAAGAAACAGTAGTCTTGTTTTTGAAGGTGTTTTAGATGTTTTTGAGGTGATGGAGCGCCCATGCCCATGATGAGTCTCTAATGGTGAATACATGTGCAGGACTGACATACACTCTCTGCTGTGTCTTGTGATGTAAAAGTTTGATTAGTTTCTCTTCTTTTTGTCTTAAACATTACTTTGAAGGCAGGAGCATATTTTTAGGAGCATAAACCATTGAACCTTGCTTGTAGGTATACATAAAATAGATAGCTTTGCACTAAGATCTGTTGTTCCTTAAAAAGAAGGGAGGGAGGAAGGAAGGAAGAGAAAGAAAGAAAGAAAGGAAGAAAGAAAGAAAGACAGTAAGACAGTAGAAATAGCCTTCAGTGTGTGCTTTTCATCTGAAAGAAACGCCAGATGCCCAGTTTGTCAAAGGCAGAGCACAATGTCAACTTATTTTTTTTAAAATAATTTTTTTAATTTGAATTAGAAACAAGATTGTTTTACATGACAATCCCAGTTCCCTTCTCCCTCCCATCCCCCCCCAACTAAAACCCTACCTATCACATATCCTTTCTTCTATTCTTCATCTGACTCAACCTTTCTGCTCCCTCATGACCTCTGCATCCTTCCTCTTCTTCCCTTCTCATTCTCGTAGCTCCCTCCCTCCTCTTCCTGTGCTCTCAATTTGCTCAGGGGATCTTGACCCTTTCCCCATCTCCAGGGGAACATGTATGTCTCTCTTAGGGTCCTCCTTGTTTACTAGCTTCTCTGTTAGTGTAGATTGTAGGCTGGTAATCCTTTACTCTATGTCTAAAATCCACATATGAGTGAGTACATACCATGTTTGTCTTTTTGTGATTGAGTTACCTCGCTCAGAGTGGTTTCTTCAAGTTCCATCCTTAAGATTCCATTGTTTTTTTCTGCTGCAACTTATGGGTTTTAAGAAGGTCTAAGGAACTGTGTGAGGTGAGCTGAAGGACAAACTGGCTTTAGTACACACTTTAAAATGATGGATGTTTAGTTTCTTTTCCTGTTGCTGTAATGAAAAGCTCTGACAAAAGCAACTTAAGGGTGTAAAGTTTTTTATTTTAGCTCACTGCCCAAGGGTCCATCATGGCAGGGGAGCAGGACCTTGAAACAGCTAGCATGCAGTGAATACACTGCTGCCTAGCTCCTTTTTCCATTTATACCGTTCAGGTCCCAGCCTGTGAATGGATGCTCTCACCCCAGTGAAGGCAGTCCAGATCTTCTTCAGGCATGCCCAAGAGGTTCATCTCCCAGGGGAGCCTAGATTCTGTTAAGTTGGCCATTAACATTTAACTGCCACACTATATAAAAACAAAAGCAGTAGATGCCCAACAGACCTATGCTTAAATTATAAAAGATTAAAACTGTGAATGAATGTGAAAAGTTAATGAAAATATATTCTGTCAACTCTTGCCCCCCACCCAAATTTAAGTCCTTTATTTTAAAATAAGTGAAATATTTAATACTTAACTATTTTAGGAAACCTGGTATTTCATCTCTTCAGATGGGAGATCTTTTACTTAGCCATGCAGCAGTTGAATGAATGTGTGAGTGAAGACATTCATGAGCCATGAAAAGCAGTTTAGGATCTAATTCTATGCCCTCTACTGTTTTTTTCCAAGTCAGTGACACATAAGTCGGTACAAAAAAAGGATATTGAGCTCAACATATCCAGTCTTGGTCATCATTTCCTAGTAATTATGGGTGCTTGAGCCTTAAGTAAATTTTGTGATTAATTTTCATTTCATCTATCTATTGAGAATTGCCTTGATCTTCAACAACATAAATGGTGCTAAAAATATGGCAGTCCCTACACGAACACAGCAGCCACTGTAATGCTGTGACTTCAGAGTAGCCAAGATGAACATATGTAATGAGCTCCCTTTCATTTCCATTCTGTCCATGAAAGGGTTCTGGCTTTGATACCTGCATTTTAGCAGCTTGAGGAGGTTGGCAGCCCAGCCTTAGATTCTGCGTGTGAGAAATTCCCTGGGGGAACTTCATGACATGCAGGTATGAACCATGCACATATGAACCTTGCTGTGCTCTTGTCGCCTTGATGAGCAAAGTCTGCTCTTTGCACATTGACATGGCAATGTTGGTCAGAGGTTCACTGCCCTGAAAACCATGCCCCCTAAGCGCCGGGCAGTTTGGGTTCTTGCTTCCTCCTTGTGAACTCATCTCAGATGCCTGGCTCATGGGGTGAAAATTTCCTGTCATTTGTCATGTCTCTTGTCTTCACTGTTTGAGGCTGAGCCACCTCTGGGTCTTTGCTTTTGATCCCTTTAATGCAATCAGATGCCAAGGATTGTGAAAACAGCTAAAAATAAACTTAGAACACTCAGAAGCCTGCTCTGTTGCTGTGGTTAAATGTCTGCTTTTAAGGACTGGCAGACTGGGACCTGCGCTTTGACTTCCTGTGCTGAATTCAACTCTGACATCTCACTGCCTTTGTGGACAGAGGGATTAAGATTTGTCATTTGTAGCTGGGCGATGGTGGCGCATGCCTTTATTCCCAGCACTCGGGAGGCAGAGGCAGGCAGATCTCTGTGAGTTCGAGGCCAGCCTGATCTACAGAGTGAGTGCCAGGATAGGCTCCAAAGCTACACAGAGAAACCCTGTCTCAAAAAACAAAATACAAAACAAAACAAAACAAAACAAACAAACAAAAAAGATTTGGCATGTGTTACTGGGCAGTGCTGAAGTTAGAAGACAGGAAGTGATCAACACAGTGCCTGAAGGTATGCAGTTTTAGCCATGGATGTGGACTGAACAACAGTTCCACTGCCTACTCTAAGCGAGATGAGTTTGACTTAGGTGAGTTACTGACCCTCCCTGAATCTTTATCTTGACCATGCACAGTCTGTCTCAGGTGGTGGTGTGGACTCTGGGCTGTCTGCAGGACACAGATGTGGAGAAAGATGCCCTCGGCCTACAGAACAGGCCTCCAACAGTAGTCCTTGTTACATGTTTGCTGAGGACTGGCTGCTGTGCCCTGAACATCTTTCATCTGTACTGATCACTCTAGTTGCATCTGGAAGTGGGATAGCAAGAACATGTATGGGACTGTCACAGAAAAGGGGTAATGGAAATGGGGAATGAAGGTCTCGCTTAGTGGAGGGGCTAACAGAGTCCTCAGAAGGCATCTCTTAAGAGAGCAGTGCTCTGTTACTAACAGAAAACAAGAACAAAAAGATGACAAGAAGAGAGTACTACAACTCACTGTTGACTGCCCTGGCCCTCTAAAGTTGGAACCTGGGGAAGGAGGCAAGAGATAGAGCCAAGATCTTAAATTTCGACTAGTACTGCCCTAAGCCGGTCTCACTCCCCTGGGCCTGGCCAAGGCTTAGCTCACTTTCTCTCCTGTTGGGGTATGTTCAGGGACCCTTCTGTCCTTCCCCTCTTACCCAGTTCAGGGCCTTTCATTGGCAGCTGCCTTGATGTGCTAATGCTTCCTCCTTGTAAGCTCCTCCCAGGCCAAGTGACACCCAACAGTCTGATAATGGAGTAGCATGGAGACAACCCTTTCTCTCCAGCTAGCCTTGTTACATATACGACCAGCTCTGAGCCAGATGAAGACTTGCTGCTTAGCGCCATCATGCTTAACATCTCCAGGCTGGATGGTGCACTGACCTGAAGGAACAATCCTCATGAATTCTCTTTTGTTCTTTGTGCCCTTATCAACATGAAGTATCAGTTCAAGCATTGTAGATACACAGTGCCTAAAGTAGAAGGGCCAGTCCAGAAAAGCAACATACTCACCAACCTAGTAGATTCCAGAACTTTTTCTGTAGTACATGAGGTAAAGCTGTGTGTGTGTTTATGTGTGTGTGCGCGTGCGTGCGCGTGCCAGTAATGGGTATGCCTAATGGAGGACACAAAATACCAGGTAGTAACACCCTGGGCCTGGAGAAAAGACTGTTGTAGAGGTGTATCTAGCATCTAGCCCACACTTAGCCTGATGACCCACATGTTGAAAGGAGAGAACTGACTCCTGCAAGTTGTTCTTTGGTGACACCCCACCAAAGAAAAAGTTGAAAATTAATACTTTTTAAAATAAAAAAAGAATCCTGAGGAGTAACAGGAGTGTGATGAAATACACAAGTGCCTGCCTTCCTCCAACCATTGCTGCCATTGATACTGTCAGAAAGGAGAAGTCAGAAGGATGTGGTAGGCTCCCCATGAGTCCTATGTATGCTAAGCTACACAGGAAGGGATGAAGGGAGAGTGATTAGGAGGTAGAGGGACCTTGGTTATGTGTGTGTAGGTGATGCATGAGACTCATCTAGACAGGAATGTCATGAAGGAGGAGAGCAGTGCAGACTTGCCCTATGGTGCCCTTCTTCCAGGAGGAAAGGTACTGCTACTTAGACCAGTACATCTCCAAATTCTTTAGGATAGCTAGATACTGAGTTCACCTTGGCACTAGCCAGATAAAAAGATACATATGTCCCTGTTCCTTGGTGGAAGCAAAGAACATGACCTCTTAGTATTTCAACAATTCAATGGGCATGATGACATGCCTGTAATCAGAGTTTGGAAAGCCAAAGCAGGAGGATTATGAGTTCCAGGCCATCCTAGGTAAGTTAACGAGACTGTATCTCAAAAGGCAAAGCAAAGCAAACTCACAGTATAAGCAGAATAGAAGATGTAATTAAAAGATGAACAGTAAAGAAGAAAACTTCCAGCCTTAAGCAAATTAATAGGATACTTATAGGGATTATGGGTATGTAATAAAACAATACATTATGAGGAATTTGAAAAAATCATCTTTTAGGTTATGATATCATAGGGCTTTCCTCCCAAAGACTGTGGACGAGACTTCAGGTGGCAGGAGTAGGCAGATTTTCCTCTCAGGCCTGACCAACATTGAGACTTTCATATCATGAGTAGGGCAGAGAAAAATTGGAGGAGAGTTCAGAGAAGGACTGCCCATATGCCCAAAGTGGAGGGAAATAAAAACCATAATTCAGGAAAAATATCTTAGTAAGGTAGATCATATTTATGACAGGAAGTTAGGGGGAAAATCTCTTGCTTGGAGATGTCAGCTACAGAGGTAAAGGGTCAAACTTACTACGTAAATTTGGAATATGAGGAAACCTTAGTTAAGATTAGGAAATCAAGTGACTGGTGGGTAAATAGATTAATGATTAGGATAAGAAAATCAAGAAACTACAAAGAACCCAGCTTACACACCAACCTTTAATCTACCGTTTACTGTGAAACTGAAAGGCTATAAACTGACAGCCACAGCACTGTGACTCCCAGGGGACTTAATTTCATCAGAGCAGGCAAATGTGGATTGCTGTTAATGTGCTGACCTTAGGAATAAGGTCATTTCCCATTGTCAAATTGCATACATACTGTGTACTAAAACTGGATCATACATGAAATGTTGGGGCAGGAAGGAGCCTAGACTGAGTGGGCAGATGATCAGAGGCTGAAGAAGTATGGAATGCCCTGCTTTGGGCTCCAGGCCTCTAGGTTGGAAGCTTCCCTTCAGTGAGTGAGTGAGGGTGTACTGGTGCTGGGCAGAACTTCTTGTGGGGCTCCATCAGGTTTGTGAAACTCTGACACCTTAGACATACAAGCTTTAGATGGTTACTTTAGTAAGATACACAGGGCAAAGCAAAATGTATCACTGAGTACAAGGAACAAGGTAGACTGTGTAGATGTGGCACCCCTGGGGTCATGAGCCTGCTTCATGGTAACATGCCTGACACTGTGGGGTGCTAGCTCCTGTGATGTTAGCCCTGAATCTACTGTGACATGAAGGTGGTATGACTTTTGCCTTCAGATACTGGTTCACTCAAATTTGGTTCTTGGAAATTCACAACCTTACACCTAATGTTCTCCAGCTCCAATGGCTGCCTCTCCTGGATGCATGGTTGGAAACCATCACCATGCATATCACCAAGTTTCCATGAAGTTATATACTGTATGGAAGCTGATATGTCTAGGGTGTAGGAATAGTTTCATTTTTTTTTTCCTGCGATTAAAGAATTAAAAGGCAGGAGCGTTTGAAAGTCAAAATCAAGGTTTACTCAAAGTGAAAGGACCTGGAGTACCCTCTTGGGTTCTTGGTTTTATTAATGAGAGTTTTATTGAAATGGATCAAATGGAAGCTTGGGGACAATTTCAGAAGAGATTAAAAGAAAACTCCCAGAGCAAGCAAGCTGTAAATCTCAGTAGTTGCCTAGAGGAGGAAAAAGAAAGCTATGCTACACTGCAGCAGGCAGGCACATGGTGGGCAGAGGTGCATTAGGGAAAAAAAAGCACGGAATTCCCAAGTGCTAGAAAAGGAAAACTTAGTTTCATGCCTGTAATTTAAAGGAGACAGAAAAATGGGAGGTTGTACCTTTTGGAGTAAGGACCCAACTGAACCCCAAGACAGCTTAGAGGGACTGTGCTAGGGGCTGGGATACTGGGAAGTAAAAGTACAGTATCTCATTAAAGGAATTTATTCTGCTCATCTCTTTGGCCTAGCTTAAGGTGAGTCTGCCTTCCTGTGGTGCTCCCACCTTCCCAGTGTGCTCCCATGGTCAGGTGATTGACCTGCTAGACCGTATTCACTCATGTATTGGGTAACTAAGATGTTAGACCTCTGCCAAGACCAGAGATTTTATGCTCTTGACCAGAAGGAACAGTTTTCTCAGTAGAACTTTACTGCTGCTGTTAGAATGGGTTTTGACTGTTCTGTCCCCATCTCCTTTCTTCTTATACATCAAGGAACTCGTCTTTCTGGTGTAAAAAGACTCGCAGTTCTTGTGTGTTGTTTCAGTGTCTGTGTTGGTTGACGTTTGTTTCTACAGAGGTAGATGTCAAAAGTCTTACTGGTAAAGTGCACTTGGAACTACATGGCCTAACTGAAAAGAGGTACTATATAAAAAACATTGACTAAATCCATCCATGTGTATCTGTCTTGAAAGCTATCCTTGAAAGGGCATCTCTCCTTGCCAGGTTTTGAGAGATTCTGGTAGACTGATTACAAATCAAGGAGAAAAAAATATCATTGGACTGGAGTGATAGCTTAGTGGTTAAGAGTGCTTGCCCTGAAGTAATGAGGACAAGAGTTTGGGTCCTAGTATCCACTATGCAAGCTATGAGGGTCAGAAACAAGATTGATGGATCTTGATGGCTTCCATCTTGGGCAACAGAATTTGAGCTCCAGGTTCATAAAGGGATCCTGTTTCCAAGGAAACAAGACAGTGATTCTGGACTCCGTGTTGTGTGTATAGTTGTGTGAACCCCAACACTAAAGTGTGCATACACAAAGGCAGGTACCAAATAAAAGTCTTAAAAATTTATTACTAAGATTTTTTGAAGGTACAAGTTACAATTCTGGAACCACTTGTACTTGGCCGAGAATTTGTTTTCTTTGATCTCACTGCTTTTCCCAGCAGGGAGCCACAGTAGTTAGGAGAGCTAACAAATGACCTTCCATCTTGTGAGGGGAAAAAAAATGAAGTTTAAAGTTTCTTTGTCTTCTCATTATTTTCCCTTTTGAGATCAGTCAGTAAACTGTGCAATGAGTTGTGTTTCCTGACTTCTAAGTGGAGTTTGGGTTGTTTTGATTACAGTCCTGTTTCTCTCCTGCTTAGCTTTGGTATGTTAATTTTAGTCGATAGCCTTTGAATGAGCAGGGGACCTCGGCTTTCTTACGTTTTCCTTCAAATTTCCACTACATCCTGTTTCATGTGTGGTTAAATCAGCTGATGAGTCACCTGATGTTTTGCTTCTTCAAACGACAAAAATAGAGGCTCAGAATAACTACACAGAAGTATCTCTCATGGTTTCCAAATACATTGCTCAAAACCATGCTTTTTGATGCTCCAAATGCTTTTTATAAAAGAGCCTTGTTGCAGGGCTTGTGTGGGAAGGCAGAAGAAACCACTGGGTTTGCACAGATAAGTCACCTCGCCCTCTCAGGTCCTACCAGAGACAGCATTATATTGGTTATAACAGTGTGGGCAGCACTGAGAACAAGAGGACCCCTCTCCTGATCCTGGGCAGGTTTCATGCTAAGTTTGGCAGGTACCTCTCTTGCAATACCCTAGGCCTGACATCTGCTTGATTCTCACAGACCAGCACATAATGGTCCTCTGTTTAAAGCTTTACTGAAGCAGGAAAGAAAAAAAAAAAAAAAAAAAAAAAAAAACAGTACAAAAACCCATTTTTCAAGGTAACACAATTTAATGCCAAGAGGTCAGATGATGTGGTGATGCACCCCTTTAATCCCGGCATTCAGGAAGCAGAGGCAGGAGAAGCTCTGAGTACGAGGTCAGCCTGGTCTACATATGAGTTCCAGGACAGCCAGGTCTATGTAGAGACCTTGTCTCAAAAACAAGCAAAAAACCAAACCAACTCTAAAAATAAGTAATTACAAGAATATTTGTATTTTCTATTTTGTAACACATATCTCACTCTCAGTTTGGGGAGAAAGTTGCTGAATCTAGAAGAGAGTTCTATCCTATTTCAGAAGAAAACAATAGGAGGTTGGGAGAGCTGGGAACTACAAGTGTAGCTCAGTGGAGGGGTGGCGGTGTGGCCCGGAGTTTCATCTCCAGAACAGGCATCCACACACGCACACTAAGTGAGTGGTTCAATTCTTACTTTAAACATAAAATGGAGTACTCTTTTCCATGATTGAAGTGTGTAATTGTCTGAAGCCTGTCACATTCAGGAGGGGGCTGCATTGGAGCTTACAGTGCCAAAACTACTGCCGTCCAAATGTACTCCTGGTACATCTTAAACCAACACTGTGCTTTATTTCTGAGGCCCTCCACGAACATTTCCAAATGAAACTATCAGCAGATGCCAAAAATCAGATGGCCCCAAATGGGAGAGGAGGACTTTTGATGCAAGAGAACCCCACATAGGCAGCAAGGGGTGACTGACCGACCGCCTTTTACCCACAGATGCAAACAAGTGGCCTCTCCAGTGACCGAGTCCTCGGTGGTGGTGAGTTTCCTGCCAGCCACAAGCCTCTCAACACTCCCAGCCTGCAGTGGTAGGCTTTGTCCTCTCATGACTCACAGCAGTCCTGCTTACTGAGTTCCTGGTGGGTGCCTTAGAGGTGTCCTGTATGCCAGGACCCAGTAAACAAGGGCAGAGCAAATGGCTTGTGTGCACTTAGAATGACCCCCTGTGGCCCCTCAGAAAAACAGTCCTCCCTGCTTCTTCAGAGAAAACCCTCACTCTAGAAAGGCTTCATTTGGGCAGTCTCAACTGACTTGCCAATGAAAACCTTCCTCCTCATGACCTTGGGAGTTTAGGTTGTAATAGTCTATAGTTGTTTGACCTTCAGAAAAGTCATACCTGGTCTTCCCGAAGTCCTTGACTGGAGGATTTCACAGGCATGGCCCTTATCTGTTTGTCAGCTGAGCAAAGTAATTTAAATCACCATCAGGCTGATGAAGTAGGAAGACTGCCCAACGCCTCTGCAAAGCAGAGAAAGTGACCCCTGCCCAAGTCCAGGCGATGGAGTCCTTGGTTTGAACCTAACATTATGACAACTTAGAGTTCTGCCTCAGGATGTCAAGTGACCAAATAGGCCCAAAGAAGGTAGGTAGTGTGTGGAGAAGCCTGCCCTGCAAAGTCTGAACAAACCCTGCGGAACGGCAGCTCTACTGTCAAGGCCTGGGCCTGGCCCTACATCCTAGGTTCTCAGGAACTCTACTACAGCTTCACTCATCTTGATCAGGTAAGGTGGCTCTGAACTGCAAGCTGCATGTTCTAACTGCACAATGGAGAGTCACTAGCTGTTTCTTGAATTCAGAGGGAAAGGGTTTTGCTTTTGCAATTTGATACTTGAGCTCCAACCCCAGAAGCATGAAAATAGCCACACACGTTAAAAAATACTGCTGTTTAATTTTCTAGTCATGTATTTTAAAAAGCCAATACAATTAAGACTTTATCTGTTCAGATCTGCCCCTGAAATCACTCACAAGCGGCTACAGAAGCACATAGGACTTGTTCCCATGGTGGGCACATCGGAAGGACATTGGGTATCCAGAAATGGGAATGCAAGCCTGTGTAGCTAGCAGCCAACCTTTGCCCTTACAGTCTTAACATGAAAACTGCACAATGAAAAACTAAACACAAGAGGCCTGCCTTTTGTTTCCTCTGCCCTTCCAGCCTTTACTTGTCTACACAAGTGGCCCATTTTCTCCATAGGTTGCCCCATTGTGAAAAAATGGTTTCCTTGGCATCTTCAGGCCCTTACACTCATACACAAAGGACTGGGTAAAACTGCTGTAACATACAACGGTCATTGGTACATGAGTGAGCTGTAGGTATGTGGAGCACGTAGGCAATCACTGAATTGTATTAGAGACATTTTATTGAAAATGCGAAAATAGGAAATGTATTATAGCCTAAAATAAATTACATAACATATACAGCATATATTTATATCTTTAAAATATTTGTTTTGTTTAGGTTATTTCAGTCTAGTTATTTTGTCTAAATCAGGAATTTAGTGAACTGTATCCATAATTTTAAAGGAAAAAAACCCGCTTTCCAAAACTTAGAAAAATATACTGCACTAAATGGATTTCCAATGTATTATTTCAGGGGTATCACATAGTGACTCTGATACTTGTGTATAAAATGTCTTGCTTTATGGTGAGGAGGGGAGTACCATAGTACAGTTACCTGTCCTGCAGAGCTGTGACTACCAACAGCAGAGACGGGTAACACATCTACATCAGAAGTTATGAGACAGGAACCTGGCATTAGAATGCGAGATTACAACTTAAAGCTCTGCTTACTGTAAAAAAAAAAAAAAAAACAAAAAAAAAACGAAATGGACAGTTAGACCGCTCCACTTCTCTCGCTCTAGTGCCATCTTCAGGGAAGGCAAGTGAAAAGCAAGCCTTCGGGGAAAGTCATGCTGAAGGGTGCTGACATCTGGAGTGGTACTTGTGTGAAGACTCTGCAAAGTCAGCTCATGTATATACACTGTGGGGGCAGCAACTGAGTGAAACCAGGAAAACAGCATGAGATGCTGACGATCAAGTCAATTTGCAACTCTGATCCAATTTCTACAGGAGATTAAATTTCCATTCCGTTGGCCTGGTGTGACCCCCCAGCTCTTCCTCTGGGAGCAGGGAAACTCTGGGCTGCAGCCTGTGACCCACCTGTGTGTGTAGTAGATAATTCATGACTCCAAAGTGGGAGGGGATGTGATGGGCACCAGGTCACTCTCTGTTATAGCCACAGTATTGGCGAGCAAGTCAAAAGAGGCAAACACAGACAGGAAAGAGTCTGGCCCGAGAGACAATGGCACAGCCCAAGTCCTTTGGTTCCAGAGTGGAGATTGTCCAAGGGAGTAGAAACGTCGACCAGGAGGTGGCTCTATCATTTGGGTTTTTATGAAGCAGGGGCATTAAGTCGGCGGCTCTGTGTTTACAAAGTGACAGTAAAGACCTTTCTTTAGGTCCCCACATCTGAGAGCATACCCAGTATGCTAGAGAATTTATACGAAACCTTTAAATCAAGGCCTCTTTCATAACCAAAAAATAAAAATTAAGAATCAGAAAATAACTTGATGGGAGGAGAGGAAAGAGATGATGCTGTTGTCTTGACTGTCCCTGCAGTGCCCCTGGCGGCCTGTGCTTACTCATTTTCCTCCCTCATTTCTACGATGTCTGTCACCTCCTCTGTTGGAGGCATGTCGGTCATTGCTGAGTCTTCCCCCTCGGTGGCTGACTCATTCTCCATCTTCTTTTTCTAGATAAAAGATGACACTTCAGAGTGGGGCTGGGAACAGGACACAGGACAGCAATACTGGGAGCAGGGGCGCCTCCTCTGTGGTTGAGGCACCCTGATCCAGGATGACTAGTTCAATGTATTCCTTTCACTGTTGTGTCTGGCACACAGTGCTAGGTACTTTGGGGGACCCTGTCCCTCACATCCTTGTTATTCTTTGGCGTGTAGCCTTGGACTCCAGCTCCCTACAGCCCTTTCAGATGGAGGCTTTTCGTCTCCTATGTCCTGTTGTTAAAGCCCCAAGCTTTGAACCTTACATTCTAGACTAGTCCGCACATCTGTCATTGGTTGGTGTCCCCTGTGACAGCTCTAGGTTCAATCTTCCCTCCTCTTTGCACATCCTAATACCTGGCGGCCTCACTGCCATGCTGTATTATTCTTGCAGAATATGCCGCCTTAGCAATCAGTTGCCACTCAGTCATTCCTGAGTCCATGCAGACCCATGTTCCCAAAGCTCTGAGCAACAGATCAAAGTGAGAGGACTGGCTTTCACTCCAGGCTCTTCCAGCACTTTCTTCTCAGAACCTGGCTTCCATCATTGTTCTACCCATGCTACTGCTGTGGTTCAGCCTTCTGTGTCCTCTCACCCCTTCCCTTTTGGTTTAAGTGGAATGCTCAGCAATCACAACCACATTCTTTCTTACTTGAGTCCTATTTGCCAGATAAAACTCTCACCTCAGGTAGGCCCAAATCTCTAATCTCCGTGGCTGGGGGCCCACAAGTAGTCCTGTGCTGCATTGCCTACTGCAGGGAGCTGTCCTGTGGCAGGGCCTTCCCAGCCCGCTTTCCCAGCCATTCACTATTCTATTCTCCTTGCTAGCTAGGGCTTTCACACACACCTTTCTCTTTCTTCTGACCTTCATTGTGGCCCTTTCTCAGGGGTGACTTGGTTTTTTACTTGACTGACCCAAGCAAAAGCAACCAGAAGAGTTCCCATGACTGTCCCCCAAATTTAGTGGGGATTTCCATCTCAGTTGCCTGCCCCCTTTGGTATGCACTTAGCTGATTGGCTCTGCTTTTCCCTCTTCCACAAGTATCTCATTCATTGGGTCAGTTCCCAAAGCAAGTATGTCACTGATGTCACCCCATCTTAATTGGTCTTCTGAAATTCACATTTATAGACCTCTCTTCTTCAGAGTAAAACAACTCCAAAGAGTTGTCTACACTCAGTCTTCAACATTTCCACTCCTTTCTCCTGACCCCCAAGGCCATGAGGCACAGTCTCCTTATCCTGTCAATCCACCCTTCACAATGAATTCCATCATCCTTCCCTGGGCTCCTTTCATCTATATACCCACTCCATGGTCACTCATCTAGATGAAAAACACGGGGCTTAGGTCCCAGAGAACTCTCAGGAACTTCACACGAGTTCTCTGGGGTCTGAGGAAAGAAATACACTCCATGTAGTTTGAAAACCCTGCCTTCAGGACAGACTAGTTCTGTACCTTCATACTGAGGGTCTATGGCATGGAGTGGGTGTGGTGTGGAAGTGGTGAGGTAGCCCTGCAGGATTAGAACAGACTTCCTGACTTAGAACTGATGAGGGAAACTATTTGTGAAGGTAGCGAGAGGTCCTGCTCATTCCCACAGCTGTTACCAGTTTCTCACCTGTTTCCGATAGACATAGCATGCTGCAATGGCAACCATGGTAGATTCTCCCACGAACCCTGCTAGAAGGGAGCCCACACCTAGTGTGGCTCCATGCACCCTGGATATGAGAACACAAAGAGATATTGTCTGTTAAAACCCAGTCATGACATAATCAAGTCAATGACAAACTTAATTGATACTGTGTGAACCAGGAATACTGTAGACCAGTGAGGGACAGCAATGGCATCCTCCATCCAACTGGGCTCAGGACAGACCCTACCACCCACCCACCCTTGTGGTAAACCTGTGTGACTCGGGGCTGAGCTGTCAGGCTCCTACTCCGCTGGTATCATCTTAGCCCTAGTGACCAGCTTGTGTCCCCTGACTAGAGTTCTGAGAGTGGGACCTTTCCCCCTTCCCATTGCTTTTCCCATTCCTCACAACAGGAAGTGAGCCCTGAGCATCATCTGTGTGAGGCTAGTGTGGCTCTCAAGGCTCATGGGTGCAGGCAGACAAACATCCTGAATTTCTAGCTCTAATATGCTTAGGGATTTCAGTTGGTTATGCAGATTTTAATCCTCTAGACAGAATACTGCAGTGGCAAAGGGCTCTCGCCACACATCTATGCCAAATGCTGCAAACACATACCCCAGGTAAGGCAGGACCACGAGGCTGGTGATGAGGACGATGATCCGCAGCACGGAGCTGGGTGCCAGGACAAAGGTTTTCTTAAGTGTCATCAACCATCCAGTGAGATGAGCCCTCACAGTCACTGTGGAGGAGAGGACTTGTCAGCTGTGTGGGACTATTGGCTTGCAGGAACCCCCAGCCTAGCTGCTGTGACTCAGGGCTGGTCACTGTCTTCCTGTGGTTATGATCCTTGCCTTTGGAGCCTAGCTGGGATCAGACCCCATCCTACCCAGCTTTCTGCCTCCTCAGTCCTGTGTCTAGGCAGCCATCTGTAGGCAGCTGCCTTGCTGCACCGGGGTCACTGTTGTTCCGGTGGGCCTGGCTATTTCCAGAATGGCCTTGCCCAGTCCTGCTACTCTTCCCCCAGTCTAGCTCTGACCACCCTCCCCTAGAGGGAAAGCCTCAGGAAAAAGAGGCAACACCAATGCTGGGTGAGCTGAAAGGCTGGGACCAGAAGCTGCCACCTTTCTATTGTCTGAGTGAACAAAGGGGATGGGAACAGTGGAGGAATGAGAATGACTTTGTCCCCATTTCCCACTATGTCTTCTTGGGGCAACCATGACCACCCCACCCTTAGCCATGTTCCTTTCTCCCCTCCGTCATATTTCCCACACCCACTCTTGGGCATCTAGACTGAATGTGAAGGAAGGCACAGGTGGGCAGCACACACACAGCACACACAGCTGAAAGGGGCAGCTGTGCAGAGCACAGACCTTTGCCCTGATTGGTAGAAAGCACCCTGACCCGCTCTGGGCAATGCCAGCGAAGCCTCCTGGAGAAGCTACGCTTACTCTCAGGTAACTCTGACTTCCAGGACTCATCTGTCTGATGAAGAACCTGCCGCTTTGTCTCCTTTCCCTCTTGTGCTGAGGATTGAACCCAGGGTGTCAACAAGCTAGGCAAGCACTCAACCACCGAGCTTCATTCACAGCCTTGCTGTCTTCTTGGTCTAATAGTGCACTCTGCCTTCCCCAGGGGGTAACAATGAAATATAGACCAGGTTCATTTTCTTCTCTTAGGGCAAAGACAGCTTTGCTTTCAGTTTGGCCAAGGGAGAGGAGAAGAGTCACAGTGTGTGCTGATCTGACAGCCCAAACCTAACACTGCCAGGAGCCACTGGGGCCTGAGGGCTGTTGAGCTTGTCTTATAGGAAGGCAGCAGAGTCAAGACGGAAGGCAACCAATAGCTCACCCCCACCCAGAAGAGCACCTGGTCTGGGCTGTGCATGTATCTCCAGTCCCTTTCATATCATCACCAGAAACACGAACTTCGAATGTCTGGATCTCCAAGTGTAGTCTTCTCCAGCTGCCATCGACTTCCTAAAGCATGCTCACCCAGTCTTTACCCAACATAGACCAGACACTAGCTAGGCCCAAGTGGTCTTTTGTCAGTTCCTTCACTCCTGTCCCAGGTCAGAATGTGACAGCCTTAAGAACTGGCCTCCAGAGGCTTTGGGACCTCAGCAGGGGCTGCTTGTTGCCCAGCTTGGGGCTAGAAGGCATGCCATTGGCCCTGCTCATTTTTTTTTAAAAAATGGATTCCCCCTCATCCCCATACTTCTGATTATGGTTTCTCCTCTCTCAACTCCTAGATCTTCCCTTCTTCTCAACCTACCCAAATCCACATCTTTTCTCTAAAATACTACTACTACTAATAATAATCTAAAATAAAAACAAACTAAAATAGGACAAAACATACCGAACATAAAGAAAAAAATTATTTTGTTGTGGATTAAACCCAGCATATAGCTACATTCACAGCTTTGTATATATTTTGACTAGTTGCCTGCCATGCATTCAGTGTGGAGTTTAAAAGACCAGAAGCAAATGTACAAAGGTCTTCCTCTAAGTAATCAATTCCTGAGGCCTTGATTTCCTCTCACAGGCAGCCCTGTTAGAGGTCAGTAGATTCCCTTTAGAGATGGTGCATTCTTAAGGAGCACGGGTAAACAGCTGTGATAGCAATGGCTGCTTCCTGATCACTCACCCCATAGCCTGCTTTTCTCCTGCATCATCTCACGCACCCACACAATACTGAGTGGGCTTCCCTCATGTATGGTTTGACATCATTTTTGGCCACGAGCCATTTGGACCTTGTCTTTTCTAAATGCCATCTTCAGGTTTTAGCAGTAAGCACACTCCTTTTATTTTTCATTTAGTTCTGGAAATCATCCTACTATAAAACTGGCTTTCTGGTGTATGTTGTATGGAATGTAGTTCACACATAGATTTGAGAAATCCCAATAATCAAGACAGAGGACAGGCCAACTGTCTCCCACAAATTCCACCCACTGCCCCCTTGGTTATACTTCTTTTAGATCACACAAAAAAGTAAGTTGTGCTGCTTGATTCATTTGGGGAATGTTCAGCCTGCTGGCTAATGTCTTTGTGTCTCTCTAGCACACAGTGAAGTAGTTATACTTCTGCTGGTGACATGGCTCCGTTGGGCAGCAAGATAAACTGGAAATGTGCATTCTCTGCTCCTTACCTGGTACCGGGAAGAAGGAGAAGATACGAAGAGGAATGACACAGAGTTCTGCAAAGGCGAAGTCCACTCCAATGATGTCTATCAAAATCTTCTCAGAGACGTTGGGGGTCCAGAACATTACAAAACAGAGCTGGAGGATGGGAGAAGACAACAGTGAGCAACGTTGTGAGGAAAAAGCATAAAAAAGTGAAATGACAATGTCAGGTACAATGTGGTCCCTAAGTGTTCTGGAAGATGGTGAACTTGCTCATTGGGCATCTAGTTGGTACCCCAGGCTTGCAGCTACACATTCCTGACTTGCTTTCACCTGCCATTGGGGGGTGAGGGATAGCCAATGTGGCACTTCCAGTGTAGGTGACATCTGAATGGGTAACTGGCCTAAGAAAGGAGACCATCTTGCTTTCACTGAGGCCTAGCCAGGGAATTCCATGGCTCACTCAGTCAGTTCTGGGCAGACATGTCCATTAATACACATGTTCATTAATACGACTTTTACAGCCTTAGCAATCTACTGGAATATGACCTGAAAGCCTTCGCATGGTCTCTGCCACACTGACATGTAAAGTCACTTATAGCCTGACAGTTTTTAACGTTACAAGGGAAGGATCAACAGCCACAAAAGCTGGAACACTGGGAAAGCCGATGGGCAAGTATGAAAGGTTAGCAGACTCCAGAAAATGGAACCATAATCTGACAGAAATGCACACTCACTTCCTACTTCCCTTCCCCTCAGATTAGTAGGTGGGAAAGCACGGCCCACAGAAGGCTGGCTAAAATCAGCTGAAAGCAGTTCATAAACTGTCCTGGACAGCTTAGGATGAGCAGGTTAGTCTCTGGGTAAGGAGAAATGGCGCCTCCCATGACTGGAGGGCACCGTTCTGGGGACTCCAGGCAGTGGACATGTTGGATGGCCCTACCTTTTCCTCAGCTGGCAGAAAGCAGTTGAATCCCACAGGTGGGAGACCAGAGCAGCTTCTCATTGGGCTAAGAAAGACCTGCAGTTTCTGAAAGTTTCAGGCTCTCAAAGAAGCGGTCTCACCAATGAGGCTCATACAGGTGACATCTCAGCCCTGTGTTCATAGTCACAGCTTTCAAGCAGGTGTCAGGATCCCACTTATAAATATGAACACACCACCAGGGGTCCCCAGACTTCCATAATTAGCTTCAGGGTCAAAACTAAAAGAAAATTAAGACAATGCAAAAAAAAAAAAAAAAAAAAAAAAAAAAAAAAAGGAAAACCCTGTCATGCTGACATTCTCAGAGAGATGGGTGAAAAGACTATATCCATAGATCAAGAACAGAATGGAAATGTTCTAGAAAAGACATTCATGCAACAAGAAAGAGCCAAGACAGGGGCTGGAGAGATGGCTTAGAGGTTAAGAGTACTGGCTGCTCATCCAGAGGTCCTGAGTTCAATTCTCAGCAACCACATGGTGGCTCACAACCACCTATAATGAGATCTGGTGCCCTCTTCTGACATGCAGACAGAATGCTGTGTAAATAATAAATCTCTTTAAAAAAAAAGAGTCAAAGATTTGGAGAATGAACATAGAAATGAAAAGGGCATCAGCTGACCATGTAGTCAGCCACAAAGACAGAGCTCAAGAATAAAGGTAGGCCTGGCAGTGGTGGGGAACATCTTTAATCCCAGTGCTTAGGAGGCAGAGGCAGGTGGACCTCTGTGAGTTCAAGGTAGAATGAGGCCAGAGTTGTTTTTTTCTTTTTTCTTTTATAAAATAAATCTAATATTCGGATACCAGGAGTTCCACAGAGAGGGAAGAGTGAACCTTTCAGAGCTGAAAGAGTAATTTCAAGACTGGAAGGAACCACCTTTGGGAGACGAGTGGATGGAGAAAGACCCAGCAGGGCACACCAGCAACAGTGTTGGGGACAGAGCAGACAAAGCTTGCAGTGCTAAGAGCTAGGAGACCTGCAGGGACGGGCTTCAAGGGAAGGTTATTTCTCTCCCAGAACTCTCAACCAAACTGTGACTGAGCAATCTTTAAGAGAAAAACCTTCACCACTCAAGACTTTACAACAGTCACCTTCAGTATTAGCTATTTGTCTTAGCTCTGGAAAAATACCGAAGAGCAACTGAAGGGCTGGTTTATTTCAGTTCAGTTTGAAGGGTTATACCATCCCTGTGGGGAAGGTGTGGGGCAACTGATCTCATCCAGTCAGGAAGCAGGCCCCTCACAGGCTAAGTAGAGGTTTGTCTTTAGGGATTCTAGATTCTGACAGGTTGACGATACTAACATTACATCACACCTTCCATACACACTTTTCCAGAATGTTCTTAGGGTATGATCTGCCAAATCAGGTGAGTCAGGGAAAGAAATAGAAAAACAGATGACTGTGTGTATGTGTGTGTGAGTGTGTGGTGGGTTGTCAGGTGAACCAGAGAAAGAGGCACAGGCTGTGCCAGGTGCACAGGTCAGCAAGTTGTACCAACAGCAAAACACAGACCTGCTGAGTCTGAATGTGTTCCAAGAGATTTATACAAAGAGAGAATGCGGAACCAAACAAAGGTTAAGAACACTACTAGGAAGAATAAGACAATTATTAACTGTTTAAGAAAGGCAGAGAAATGATAATGGCTGTTTAAGAATTAGGACTAGGCTATCATAATTCATCAAAAGAGTTTCCCATAGTATCATAGTTGACTACAATTACAGTCTACCCAAAGGATACATAGGGTTGGATTGGCAGGGGCATGCCTCTAGGAGCAGGAAAGGGGACAGGGCTGGAAAGAGAATGGATGGGTCAGTGGGCTGAGACATGGTTACTGGGAACAATCCTAATAGAAGTGGCTTTAAATTTTGTGCTGATTTAATTTAAAAGTGTAACCATGTAACTTTGGAGGATAATGATCAAAGTATGCCAGTCTCATCAAGTATTTATTTCCTTTTCCTAAAATCCAAGCAAGTCTTGTCTAAAATAAAACTGGATACACTAGAAAATGAGTTGTAGTCATGTGAAAACAGAAGACTGAAATCTCAGAACATGACATCATCCCTTATACTTGGGTAATTTAAGTTTCATGGAATTAGGCTGGCCACAGTAAGACAGTACATGTAAATGAACTGTAAATGTTTTACTTTATACATGTGATGGGCCTTTAGTCACAGTGCTTGCTTACCATAAGGATTCACCCCCTATGCTGACTCCCTCAGGTCTAGCAACTTGGAGACTGGGAACTTTGCCTGAGTACCATGGACAAGTGGCCTGTCCCCTTCCTCCCACTGGTGGCTTTCAACAGTGTGATATCACTCATGCCCAGGCATGGCAGTGATTTCAAATAACAACTCTCAAACAGCACTGTATGGCACCAGAGACAATTTATCTCCCTGTCTCTATCACATCCCACAAACATATGAACGATCCCTCCCTCTTCCAGGGCTGCTTTATGGTCGACCCTAAATATTTCCCACATCAGTGAAGCTATCAACCACCCCTCAGGTCTGCCATGGACCGGTGCATTGGATCTTTCCTAAATGAGCCGTTCTGTTTCCTTAGTGGGTAGGATGTGACACAGAGGCCACATTCTGCCTAACACTCAGGCTTCCCAGAGAATCATGAGTGTGCTTTGCTTTGCAGGGAGAGATGGTCTGAACACAAGGCAAGGCCTCAAATACAAGTTGCAATCTCTGTGGGTTTTGCAAACATCGCTAAAGTGGCTTTTAAGTCACAGTGCACCAAAGCAAAGGACAGTGTTACTGCTTGTCTGAAGCCTGGTGGGAACACGCTCATGCAGCAAGTGACTCGAGTAATTCCTCCCCTTGGCCTTCCCACAGGGATGATACGACCGACTGTGAAGCCCTTCATAGGGAGTGATCTGCTCTCCAGGGAGGGCAGTTAAAAAGAGGGCAGACAGGGAGCATGCCCCAAGGTTGTCAACCACACACGATGCTCAACCACACACGTCCATGCAGGGTCTAGTGCTTTGCCTTTTAGGAACACTAAGACCAAAAGCTATTGCCCCACTCAGCAGAAGGCCATCCAAGGGCAGGAGGAGCCCTACATTTGGGGATCTCTTTTTCCCTCTCCCTGAAGTTTCTGAATGCAGAAACCTCATGTTTCTAGTAAGAACAAAAAGTCTTCCACAAGAGAATATTTGCTGCACTCTCCAGAAAAGGATGCGCAAACACCTGAGAAGCAGAAGGGTGTTTGTTAAAAGCTGGGACGCCTCCATGCAGGTCATGTCCTAGCATGGTAATTGGAGCCAATGTTTCCGAAAACAAGACTTGGGAACTCACTCTGCAAGGGGTATTTTAGGAAGCATCATTCTACTGAGTTCACCTAGTGGAGAGTCTTAACTCTGAACATGCCTTCCTGGTTGACCATGACACGGTGTGTTCTTCAAATATTTGCAGAGGCCAGTGACATTGACTTTTCCAAACCAGAGTGCAAACCTAACAAAGTACTGACAAAGGGCATGATTTATGCCCTGGTGTAGCAGTGGGGTTGGCTTTCCTGTTGCAGAGTTTGCTGTCAATGCCATCTCATTAAGAAGGAGTCTTCAAGATCGAGCAGACCAACTTGTGCCCAGATCTTGGGTTTTCTGTTTACTGTCCAATCAAAGGACCCAGAGCTCCTTATGGAAATGACCCAGTCTAGGACTAGAACTCGGAATGTGTAAGACTATCACTCTCCAGGAAGATCTATAGTACTAGGAAGCAAAGAAGCACCAAGAAAGCAAAACAATAGGACATGTCATGTGGGCATTAGAGCCCACTGGAGTTCCCAATAGCTAAGATAGGAATATGAACAACACAATAAAACAGTCTTGATACAACCTGAAGCATAAAACTAGCATCCAAAAGCTCATGTTGGTAAAAACAAACAGAGGAGAGAGGGGACAGAATACACTTTCTAGTTCATTCATGTGGGTTGACCAAGAACAAATGGAAAGCTGCCAAACATTATTGGGTCACGTGATCAAAGTCAAGGTCAACAATGGTGAAGTCTTGTTAATAGTATGAGAGGCCTGCTGTTCCCTGTTGTCATTTCAATAGAGAACACACAAAGCTACTGTGGGGTAAGAGAGGTACATCCATTGTTGGGTGTCCTGAGCCCTCTGTTCTACAGACAGTGTCGCAGTGATCTGGTTCTTGAATTTCCTTAAGCTGATGGTTCTACTTTTGAGGAATTCACAGAGTGTTCTCCATGGCCCAGTAACCAGAAGTAGCAGTCCAGGAGAATTCTTA